CAGCCACTTATTAGCTACATGAGTTCAAATGCAAGTTCATTAATGTCTTCATGCCTCAGTTTCCCTCCTCTGTAAAATGGTGATACAGCCACCATACAGTCATTGTGAGTCAATGGCTTAGTAGGAAAGTTGCACCTCACATCCCTTGACTATTAATGTATCCTCAGCGGTGAGCATTAAGTTGTATAGACAGATCGAATGCCCTGAGGGTAGGGAGAGCAGAGGAAGGTGGTAAAAGCTAAAGGGTAGAAAGGGGAGGGGAGGCACCCAAACTGGATCTTAAAGTACAGGGAGGACTGAGACACTCAGAGTACACATTCCAGATGAGGGGGCTGCAGAGTCACAGGCATGCTCAAATCAACAAGGAAAATAAGCTCCTCAAAGCAGGGGGTGTATCTGGTGACCTCAGATTTATTGAAGGGTTGGGGAGAGGACTTTTGTACTGTGCTCCCAGGATTTAGTTTTTAACCTTTTTTTTTTTTTTGACATGTGTACTATGAACACAACCTTACTTTGAAATGCTGTTCTCTATTCCTAAAACAGTGGAAAGGATCCCAGAAAATAAAAAAGGTAAACTTCTTGTTGTGCTTCAGAAATAGCCTGCTAGAGTGGAATAGAGACCCAAATCTAACCGAATCTATCTTCATATGTCCTGTATGGAAATCTGTTATTTTAACTTCCGGTCCATTTCAAGTAGTAGCTTGGAGGAAGGTGTAGGGGCACTTAAGATCTACCCTTCATTTTCAATCTATCAGCCACTCTATACACAATCATCAAAAAGACAGCAGGGTATGCTTGTTAAGTGAATGTAATTTCAGGTGGGTACCTTCCACCTCATTCTGCCCAGCAAAACAGATGTTATCACCAGCCACATACAAACACCGCCCCCATTTCTTAAACAGCACCTGTGCTATTTCTTAAAAAGAGCCTCTATAATGAGCTCTCTGGAAACCACTAAGAACTGATGCTGTGAAAGTTTAAGATAATATATGTTCACTTAGAAAATTTCCTCCATAACCAAGTTAGAAATTTCAATGCGAAGATAGGTAACAGTGACCATTCCGTAACCAAAGAAGAAAAATTATCATAAAATAATTTCTTTACAACTGGTACTTCCTCTAGAGATAAAAAAAAAAAAATGTTGCTAAATCAGCAGTTATTTTGTTTCCTACAGTGTAAGGATAGGCTTAACACTTGGAAATACTAGCATAATGATAAGCAGTCAGGCAGGGCCCACAGAAGTTACAAGGGCAGTGATTATTTCCTGAAACAAACACCTCAGGCTCTCAGTGGTACCAGCTTTATTGGAAAAGCTTGTTTCCTCTGATCCAACAGCTGTAACTTTTTAAGTGATTTCACAGAGGACCTCAAGATTCTCAAGTCAAAGCCATTATTCATACCACCTCCAAAATATTTACAAAATGAAACACTTTATGTTCTAAACTATGTTTTATTTGTAAATAGCTTGTTTGACCTGGTGGCCACCGCACCAACGCTAAAAGCAGCCTTTGAAAGAAAGGAGTTCAAATAAAACCACAGAGAGACACACTATTCTTAACACCCAGAGCATATCCACAAAGCAAGAAAACCAGGATTCAAATTCCTTCTCACCTACTCACTCAGCTCCTGCAAGTACCTCACCCTCTTGACTATCACACCTCCTCACTAATTGGTACTTCGGAAAACTCCAAGGTTTTGATTACTGGATGATAACAGAAAGTATTGGGCAAAAGTCTCCCACCCAGTAACTGGTCCTGTTTACACACCAGCACAACTCCATCCAGAAGGTTGAGTTACTATCCAACTCTTCTACCCAAGTGCCTCACAGGCTATTGGTAGCTACATAAAAGCCTCTAAGCATCTTTGTTTTGGTCTCCTAATTATCCTCTCATACACCTACTGGGAGAGCATTTTGGGCCAAGACAGTACAAAGGCTAGAAATCTAGAAATGCCTGGTTTGGAGTGAGAAGAATCAGAGGCAGGGGGAAGTTCTATGTGCATGAACGTATTCCAAAAACAAATAATTCTGAAATACATCTATTTCAGACCTATGGAAGCCCTTTTACATTTCAAGTCATATGTTACCAGGGCTTTTTTGCTTTGTTTTGTTTTATGCTGAGCTGCAAATACTTGATAGAAAACAAAGTGGAATATCGCAACTGAAAACAATGAGTGGACAGAATGCAGACTGATCTTGGATCTCCAATCAACCTTGATTCAACAGATATTAGATACCTATAATGGTCAAATATTGCTTTAAATGCTGAAGAAATGGGATGGACAAGACAAAGACCCTTCTCTCAGAGATCTTAGAGGAATGGGAAGAACCCTACACACTGGAATTGGTGTCAGAATTATAAGGAGGCAAGAAGTAAGCAAATAAATGTGATTTTCAGTGATGTTATAGGACAAATATAAAAACTGATTGACAATTTCTGATTCTGCTTCCTTGTGGAGATATAACCACCTACTTAAAACAAGATAACGAATGCCAACCAGCTGGCATACAGCATCCCCAGGCACCTAGCTGCATATGAATGACAGCATAATGGTTCTTACTATACTTCCCCCCTTCATTGTAATATAATAATCCAACTTGGTATAAGATGAAAACAGAAAAACAGAGCTATTTGTGTAATCGAATTACACTTAATGCAATTAAGTTACAAATAGCTGTCTTCCACCAAGAATTTATTTAAAAAGCAAAACCTAAACAATTCTAAGGTAAAAGGGTAAACATATGTACAGAGAATGAGAAAAAGCAGCAGAAACAATATAGGAAATATAGGAAAAAGTAGTATGGCTGCCTTGCCTAACTGTAAAGATTGCCATGAAGAGCAGCTCTTTTGCCATCTGAGTGAGGCTCAGAAATTAACCCAGTGCCATAGTGTCAGAGACTGGGTTTAAATTCTCATCTTCAGGTTCCCTTGAGAAATGTAAAAGACAATGTCCTACAGTCACAAGAGTTTACACCAAGAATGAACTTTAGGAAATCTTCTATACTCCTTTACCCATCCATATTCCTAAAGTCAGAGGTCCCCAGAAGCAAAGGGTTAACCCCAGAGTAGAGTATGACAGAGCCAGAGCGGAAGCAGGCTCCAGATGCCAGCCCAGTGTGTTTAGCTCTAAAGGACCTGCATGGAGGCAGACTTGGATTTCATGAGAACCAAAGGAGAAAATGCCGACATCCAGAATTCAATTTCAGGTATTAACTGTTCCTGATAACTGCCTGAGACCTACACCGACAGTAAAATGAGAACATTTACAGTTGGCCAGGATGCTCCCTTCTTGCAGGATAAAGGACAATGAATGCCCTACTAGGAAAATGATGCCGCTATCAGTAGCCGGGTAAAAGCAAAGAATTTTCTAAGGGAAATGAGATCTTCCAATTGTAATTTTCAGAGTTTGCCTCAGGATAAAGACTCCAAACAATAATTTCTGAAAAGGAAGGTGGAGATGAGGAGAGGGCAAGTGTGCGCCAAGAGAGAAAGGAGTTGAACCACGTTCGGCTGTTTACAGGAGAATGGAGGAAGCCCCGAGGCTGTGAAACCGGTGAGGAGCAGTGAGCAGCTGGGCCCAAGGCGAACGTTTGACCACACCCACTGGCCACGCCCTCCCAGCTGCCCGCAGAGCCACAACGAATTGAAACAGCAGTGGGAGCAGTTAGGATTCCGACGGCAGAGTCGCCATGGCAACGAGATTCATCTAGCTGACAAACTCACTTCAATTCACTAGGTCCATCTCCAGTCTAAAGAAACTACCAGCTCAATGGGAGCAAAACAGTGATAAGTGGCATTTGTTCTGGATGCTCCCTTACGCGTGGAGAGGGGGAAATGGAGTGTGGGCACCTATTTCTGGACCCACTAAAATATTTTATGGGGGCAAGGCGGAACACCCTAACCCTAGCCTGTGAGCAACTTGAGAATAAAACCATTAATAGGATTTGATGAATGAGCGAGGGCAAGGAAATCCGGGGGACTTTATATAGTTCTGGTGCCTCCCGCGTGTCTCCAGTGGGAAGGCAAGCGACTCACAACCCGCTGGGTGTTAGCATCAGCTGAGAACTCCCGATGCTCATCCCGCCTGCCCCACAGTGAACCTAACCACTACATTATTTGCCACCTTGCACCGCAGCACCACCTCCCAGCCCAGGAATCCAGGGTAGACGCTTCGCCCGGCTCAGGTGCGCTTTATCTAGGGCGCAAGCTCTACTGGGGGATTAAGGTGCACCCCCTCTTTAGAGGGACAGGAGGTGTGAGCACTCTGTGGCACCCGGTCCGCTAGCGGCACAACCTCCTTAGCCGCTGTCCGCCAACATTCCCAGCTCTTTCCGCAGAGTAAGGTTCCCCCCTCTCTCTCTTCCGAGACGCTGAGCTTCCTACTTGGCCAGAATTGCACCCCGCTGAGGTGCAGGCTTTCAAAATGAGGCTTGAAAGTGAGGTGCCTGGGATGATAGGGTTTGGTTCGGGCGCGGACGGGTAAACGAGACCCTCTTTTCCCATGGCCACCTCCGAGTCCACCAAGCCTACCTCAGGATTTTCCCTCTTGGAGCCCCCCAGCCAGCACCTCCCGACAACGGCAGTTCCCGTAGTCCCCAGCCGAAGCCACAACCTCCATCGACCCAGCCCAGGTGCCTGCAGCAAGGCGGCGAGTGGTCCCATGCAGGCTCTCCAGGCATCCCTAAGCCTTAGAAAGAAAGGAGGGAGGGACCCCCGTCCTTGGGGGCGCCTTCCTCCGGGCTCGCCTAGCTTTACGCCGCACTTGCAGCCATTTTCTCTAACCCAGCTTAGCAGCCGGGAACTGTCTAGGTCCCGTTCCCACCCAGACCTAACCTGAAGGACGAGTTTAATATTTACCTACTGGCCCGGGAGCCCCGGGGAAGCTGTATGAGCGCGCGGCAAACCCAGAACGCGGCCGGAGGCAACGTGCCCACCCCCGCGCCACCGTGCGGTGCCACTTAATGAATGAGTGCGGCAGGCGAGGCGGCGCGTGCCCCTTACCTGAGCAGCCCCTGCATGCTGGAAAGGCGGCTCTGCGCTCCGGCTACAATGGGATCCGGTTAAACAGTTTCCTTCACAGACGCTAGTAGGTTACAATTCACAGGTGACATCACTCTCTCCTCGCCTGATAGGATACAAAATAGTACCTATTGCGCATGGACTCCCCTGCGGGGCCCATAGACTCCTGGGAGTTGTAGTCTCAACTCCACAAGCAGCGCCTGAGGAGTTACGATACTTGAATTCACGAACTACACTTCCCAATAGACACCTCGGTCGCTTCGTCCCCGCCCCGTCGCCCCGCCTCTCTCCGCCCTCCTGGTTTGTGGTTTACTGGTGGTAGTTCGGAAACCTAGCTACACGCTGCGCGGGAGCCACCCCTCGGGTCTCGCCCTTTGACTTGACCTCCACTCGGCTCTTTACGGGCTCCGGGGGCCCCGAGAAGTCCCGGCATAGTGTGCACTGGCCAGGCAGTTCTGACCTACCGGGCTCTCTTCGCCCCAGCTGGAAAGCGAAGATTAAACCTTTCACTGCCTTATCTACGCAAAGCAACAAATTAGAGGACACGCTGGTTTCTGGGTTAAATGCAGTCCTGGAATTTCCCCCACGTCCCCTAGAATGAGAAAGCGCTGGCCCCCAAGGAGAGAAATCCTCGTTGCCCTACTTGGTACAATTCACCTTTCTGTCTTGGCTTCCCTTCTCCCCGTGTAACTGAATCTGAGGGACCAGCCAGAACGTGAAGGAACAGCTTAGTTGTCTGAATTGACAGAATTACGGAGGCTGTCACTAGTAAAAATGCAGAGTAAGAGACTAAGCAGTTGCAGCAACCCTCCGTCAGGGAGCCTGCTGCTGCTGCTGCTGCTGCTGCAGAGATAATACTATCGCGCAGCCATGCTTTTGTTCTTCCCCGCGGCTGACTTCCCGCACTGTGGAACTCCCAGGAAGACAGAATCCTTGTGTAAAGTTTTAGTAAATGTCATACACATCTATTAATGTGTTCTCAAATTCACAATGCTCTTCCTCGTTTTCCAATCTTTAAATATTTTTAAATTACCTAAGCCAAACATCAGAATCGTCATATCTTAATACATTTATTTTACTTAAAGATAAGCAAAAGATAAGTTGGAGAATTCTAACCTTTTAGGAAGATTTTAATTTTAAAATCTTATATAAGATCTTTCTACGGGATATTTATTTATCAGTGAATACCGAATATGAAAAATTAACCATGAAGAAATCTCCAGGTCTTTTTAAATGAAGAAAAAAAATGTACTGAGTTATTCAGGTGTAAAGGTAGAGTAAAATTTATAATGACATTTGATAACTTCAAATCACATTCAGCTCACACCCCTATTTCTGCTAGCAAAATGTCTTGGACTATATCTTATGAAAAGAAGTTCACAAGTAAGATTTCAAGAACTCTCCACAATATTTGAAATGGATGGAATAGCTCAGAATAGAATAATAGCATTCTAATTGTTGGTGGGAGTCTTCTTATATTCATAGTCTCATTTCATTGTGCAACACTATCTTGGGATCAATTGAAAATATACTTGTGAAACTAATTGAGAATACCAAGAGAGTGTTTTGTTTTGCTGAGAGGGTTTTTTATGTGTGGTGCTTTTTTTAAATTTTATTTATTTTTATGTAAAAGAAATGGGGCCAGAGGTGGGAAGATACAGAGGGCTCACCAGTAACAGAGCAGGTAGCAGAACAGTGGATTTACTTAAATACACGGCTAAGGGGAACACTGGGTGAGACAGGAGAGGTCTGCTGTGTCATATGTGGGTCATTTCCCTTTCCTGGATTGAACACAGACCATCAGGGCATAGGGGTGGTAGAGCTGAGACTTAACCCCTAAGCCATCAGGGAGTCCCCGAGAGAAGGGTTTTAATGCTGAATTGTTTTTTTTTTTTTTCTTTTAACAAGCCTAATCCTTCTACAACAGACACATTTTTCCACACTAAAGGAAAATAACTTTGAATGTTATTCTCCTATTTTGAGCTATTCCATCCATTTCAAATATTGTCTTAAATGGAACCCAGACAATACAAATGTTCCCTTGGCCATCAGATTAAGAGCACAGACAGTGATATTCTAGCTAATGGGTAGGTTTAATGTATTGCAGTTCATTGTGGAAAAATATTCAAAAGAAACTTGACCTGGGATGATTCGAAAAGCTCTCCTAGTTTTATAACTGTGAAAAGCTTTTAGATGGAAATATAATCAGTGAGACTGAAGTTTATTGAGTCAATAAATTGGACATGGAGACTTTCTATAAGGCAGTGATCTTCTTATAGATAAAAGCATGTTATTGGGGATATAATCTGAGACTTTACAGGGAAAATCACCTTACAGCAAGTTCTCACTAATGAAGGAGAGAATGAATCTGCCTGAAGAAAAAAAAAATCCATTCTCTATAATATTTTAGGGATGTACCATGTTATATAGTCCATTTCTGTGTATAAAAGACATCATATGCAATAGATTATGAGCGCAGAAACATGTGGATGTGCACATGTGTGCTTTCCTTCCTGTTAAATATAGACAGTAAGTATAGAAAATAAGACATTGTGTTTGAAGCATTTTCTCTGAGTGGAGATGGATTTGAACTGATCCCTGCACACTGCTTCATTGGTAACCCAGGGAAACAAAGATGGCTCTTCAGCATCAGAAATGCAATCTGTGAACCTGGGACCAGAAGAGATTTTTTTAAGCAGACGTAAGTAGTCTCATAAGCCATCAAAAAACACCCACTCTCCCTAGCTTAATTTATATTCTCAAAAGGTTCTTTACCTCTTTTTCTTCCTGTTGTTTAAATGACTGCTGCTATTCTCAAGTGATCTTATAAAAGGTTCTGTCATGTCCCATAATCATTGCCTATTCATTAGAAACCGATGGGACTACTGAGCATACATTTCATTGACCATCTACATTTAATTGACCATCTACATTTAATTGACCATCTACATTTAATTGACCATCTACGGGTGGAAAGGAAGGGAGGGGAGGCATTAGAGGGTATTTTGCTGATCTTTCAAAATTACCTTTCTCAATTCTGGCTACAACGTTTTGCTCTAGCTATTGGGTTTTGGATAAGGGAGGAAATGAGATAGCAACAGAAAAAAAAATTAAGTTTGTAACCTTGCATGTGTTTTCACACAATAGCTTGTGTTTTATAACAATTGGGGCTGTGTGTTGAACCCAGCTTTGAGATCATGCCTTTTTACCACTTTGGAACAATGTGACTTTGCTTTTTGATGCTATGTTGCTTATTTACTTAGCCTCAGTTTCCTTATTTTTAAAATGGGCCCAACAGCAAAACCCATGTCAAAAGATTTTTGAGAATTAAATGAGACAAAATTTCATATTGAACTATATGAATGTTAGTTTTTGTTTGCAATGCCCCCCCATGAAGATTACCTCAGAAATGTGAGTCCTAATTATAGAACAGAAACCTATTTAAATTTTAAAAATTCTTATTCATAACAGGAAACTTAGAAATTATATAAAATGTATATCTCTTCTCTCATGAATTTTTAAGTAAGTAAAATGTGGTTTGAGGGGAAAAGTACAATTGAACAGTGCTGACTTGTTGTCAGAGACACTTCTGTCCTTCTGCAGTGCCCTAAGCTGTCCTCAGTGTCAAAGGCAATCTTCCCCAAGTTTCTCAGCATGGAAGTCATGCTAGGGGGTGGGAGGCAGGAGGAAGGGAGAAGCCAAGGCATTTCTTCACTCTACAGAGTTGATACGGGTAATTTTCAAGTAATGGCAGAGCAGTTCACCCATAGGGCTAAGTCCCAGCTTCCCCAGGCCACGCCAGCCACAGCTTGCTAAAGCTACCCTCTCCCTGGGTCCCTCTAGTCTCGAGGGGAGGCAGCTTCCTGCGAAGCTCTTACTGCATGTTTGTCTTCTCAGAACTTCTGTCTCCCTTGTGATCAATTCCTTATAATATATTCTGTCTTAAATATTTGAATGACTTGTTTTCGTGGTGGAACACTTAACTGATACACTCAGACCTTAGCTCAAGTTCTTTCAGGAGTAAGCAACAGAAACTTTCTATGGCCACTGTCTGCAAAACTAAGAAAGTGATAGGATTTATTCAAAACATTAGATCACAAACTTGAATACATTAAATAGTAAATGGATTTAGTCAAAAGATTAACCAACCAAGGCTGCGTGTGTGCACAGGGCCCAGACCAGTGCTGGACATGAATCAGTAATAGTTTTTAGACCTCATTCCCAGAGTACAGCTCTGGTAGTTCCCAGCCTGTGTCCCTTTGTTCCAAATTTCAAATTCCCTAGAGAAGTTAGTTGCCCTATCTCAGAGTGACTACCCCTGATTTAATCATCGAGAGCAGTGGTGTCTAAAATATGGAGCCCACACCAGCAACTTCAGAGATGTGTTAGGGTCCTACCACAAACCTACTGGAAAAGAAGCTTTAGGAATGAGTCCCACAATTTGTGTCTTAACAAGTCCTCCAGTTGATTCTGACACATGTGAAAGTTTTCAAACCACTTGTCTATGGCAAAGATTATAAGATTATGCAGCTCAGATATGATCGCTCCCAATCTATCCAGTGTCTGGGAGACTTCCCAGAGAGTTAAAAGTGTTGTGAACTTGGCAGCCACCCCAAAAGGTGTCAGGTAAAGCTGATAAATCTGTCAGGGTCTTAAGGTAAAATTTGGTTCTTCCTGAGGAAGTGCACTTTGTAACATGGTGAGCTAACTAATCAATTTAGTCATTGCAAAAGCACTTGGAAAAGATCCATTTCATTATGTTTAATTGAGAACTCAGAAAAGCTGATAAACCAGTACTGGCGCAGAATAAGAAAGATGGAATCTCATAGAAAGCTAAGAACAGTAACAATAATAAGCTCAGGCAACAAAAGAAGTGTGAAAATAGTTTCAACCACTCAAAGTTCTCTCCTAAACAGCTCCCGGAAATTCAGAAACAGAAACGCTCTCTACCTCTCTCAGCTGTGGCCAGTATCAGCTTATTTATCACTTATACTGGCCACTGCCCAGCTGCACTGTTCAATTTTGTAACAATGGGCCCCAGGTGATTTCTTTTTTAATTAATTAAAACTAAATAAACTAAGCCACAA